GCAGGCGAAAACCCAACTCCGGGGAAACCTGTGTAAAAAAACAGTACGCGGGGGGGGGGGGCGGACACTTTCAAACCGTCATCAGGGGAAGAGGGAGAGTAGTATTCATATTGAGTAATTGTCGAGGGAGGCGAGGCCAGGCCGAGGCGACCCGTTTGCCTACACGTCTGGTACGAGTGCGTGCTCAGGGAAGGGGCCTGGGCGCTGAGGGGGGGACAGCACAGATCCCTGCCTAGGGGAGGAGGAGGTCGGCCACAGGATGCCAGGCCCGTGCCAGGGGGGAGAGGGATCGGCTAGACGATGCCCACAGACGCTGGAACAGGAACCGCTTAGGGGGCTCGAGAGGGGCTCGCTGCTCCTCGGGTCCTTTCTGTGGATGCCTTCTCCGACGCTCCTCGTGGACCCAGGCACTTTGGAGGGGGCGGCACGTGGCCCTGCTCCCAGTGCAGTCTTCCTCGCACGCCTCGCCCGACCGCCCTCCTCCTGCCTGCACCGCGTCGCGAGCTGCGTCGCGGCACGGCACTGTGCGCACGCGCCGAACGATGTGCCGCGGCAGCGTCCGAGTGCACCACGTCGCTTGGGCGCACCGCGCGGCCCGGGGGGGGGGCGTCCGGGATGGCGCGACCACGCGGAACACACGCAGGCCGCTGCAACCGCACGAAAAGCGCACTGCACCCTTCTCCCAACATCCTAAGCTGAGTCCGTGGTCTCTCTGCACCCCATCCCCCCCCCCCCGCGCAAGAACTCGCCCCCTCTGCTCTCGTTTCCAGAGTCACATCCTCATCCGCACTCCTTGTACACGCACTCACCCAACCACTCATCACTCACTAACTCACTCGATCACTGATTCAAGCAATGAACCACTCGCCGTTACACCATGGATCCTGCTCATCACCACCATCACGACCACCATCGTCATCCTCTCACACGCACGCAGGCACTCATCTGAAACTTTGACACCCACACACACACATGCTCACCTCGAGGGATGTCTCGAGCGGGGGGCCCCTCCCTGTGGGTCCCGCACCTAACGTGTTTTATCACAGCGGGTCATCCTCAAACCTGTAGCAGTCGTCACTATTGGGATCGCTAGGCCTGACGATGGAGGAAGTCTCGAGCGGGAGCCTTCGTCTGTCAGCGAATTGCGAGGAAGTCTCAGGCGGGACCCCCCCCCATGTGGGGCTCGCAGGTCACGATTTTAGTCCCAGGGGGTCATGCTCAAACCTGTAAGTGTCGACACCTGTGTGCTCCTCAGGCCTGAAAATGGAAGAAATTTCAAGCGGGGGCCTCGTCTTTGAGTGGATTGCGAGGAAATCTCAGGCGGGAGCCCCTCCGTATGGGGCCCGCACTTCATGTTCTTAACCGCACGGGATCATCCCCAAACCTGTAACTGTCGTCAATGCTGGCTTATCAAAGCCTGAATGTGGAGGGCGTCTCGGGCGGGAGCCTTGTCCGTGAGTAAATCGCGAGGACGTCTCAGGAGGGAGTCCCCTCCTTATGGGGCCCGCTTCTCACGTTTTCAATCCCAGGGGGTCATAACTGTCGTCACTCTTGGGCTCCCCAGGCCTGGATATAGAGGGAGTCTCGGGCGGGAGCCTGATTTGTGAGTGAATCGCGAGGAGGTCTCGAGCAGGAACGCCTCCGTATGGGGTCCACACCTCTATGTTTGACTCCGAGCGGGTCATCCTGAAACCCGTAACTGTCGTTACTTGTGGGCTCCTCGTTGCTGAGATCTGGAGGAAGTCTCGAGCGGGGGCGTCGTCTGTCAGTGAAGCACGAGGAAGTCTCGAGCGGGAGCCCTCCCTGTTGGGTCCCCGCCTCCATCTTCGAATCCGGGCGGGTTTTCCGAATCCTGGAACTGTCGTGACGTTTGCCTGATCATCCTGCTTATCGTCACCCGTGCTCGGGCCGCGCAAACAGCTCTGACCCAAGCAGCTGGGGCATCGCCGCGAGAAACTGCCCCTCCCAACCCTCCTCTACCCACAGGCGCACAGAGTGGGGAGAGAGGAGAGAAGACGAGAAGGATGATGAAGGAGACCAAACTTAAAAAATATGAAGAGAAATAACACGAGGAGGACGACGAGAAAATAGGAAGCCGGACGAGGAGGACGAACAGAAAAGCTGACAATGCCTGGCACTTCGAAAAGAATTGAGACTGATATTCAGCACTATCGCTTCTACTGGCAGAGCTTCGCAGGAACGTCGCGATGGTGCTACAGTAACATACCCTGTGGCCGAACGCCTGGCCAATCCCCCTGGCCAACCCCCCGAATCACCCGACCAGCCCTCCAGGCCAACCCCCCTCTGGTCAACCCTGGTGAGGGCAGTTCTTCCCTTCCACAATTATGATAGTACTGCAGCTGCGACTGCGACCACGACTCTGACTGCTACTTGTTACTTGCCCCTCCCTGCGCGCGAACACTTGGGGCAGCGGCGGCGCCGGGCTGTTGAGGGCGTTGTTGTACGGCCCGCCGTACTCCACCGTCAGGTCCCCGACGTCCTTCCGAGCCGGCGCCGACGGCCGGCCGCAGTGTGCCCCCTCGCACTCAGGCCGGGCACGTCCGCCCACGGGCGGAGCCTCGAAGAAAAATAACACAGTAGTCAAACCAGACTCCGAAGTAGTCAAAACTCGTCGGAGAAAAAAATCGGGAAATCGTCCCCGAGAAAGTCGAAATATTCCAAAGTCGTCAAAAAACATGTTCCGAACTAGGGGACAAACTAGTGGAATACTTCCTCCCGCAGAGGGATCTGCCGGACTTACACCTGCCACCGATCCTGGGCCCAGGATCGGCGAGACGGATCGTTTCGACGTCCCCCACGAGGAGGGGGGGGCGGGGAGAAAGGAGGGGGAGAGAACGGGGAGGAAGGGAGGGAGGGGGAGGAGAGGGAGGAGGCAAGCTAGGTGCGCTCGCGTCATATCTGACATCCTACCCCTCCATCCCATCCCTTACCATGGCGCAGATCCCCTCTCTACTGGCACAGTTGGATGTCGAGCAGGGCAATGATCCCGAAAGGGTACAGGAGGAAAGACAAGGCCAGAGAAGCTGGCCGAAGGCGGAAGAAGAGGCTGAGCAGAAGGATGTCTTGACCTCTGGCGCCGCGAGAAGGGAAAACACTGCAGGCGAGGCAATCACACAAAATCGGCGTCCGCTCCCTGTTTTTCGGGCGCCCCACGTGATGCGCTGAGAGAACGACCCGCGACAAAGACCCGCCCCGGGGGACGGAGTCGACAGCCCTGGGCCCACCTTGTGGAAAAGCGCGACGTCCGAGATCTGGAGGAGAAGGACTCTTCGAGCAGATGCCACGATGGCTTCCAGAGCGTCCTCGTGGAATTCGGGAGGGGCCTCCGACGGCTTCGGGGAGACGGCAGCGTCAGCGCGCGTGCGTGCCCCCGCAAGAGGGGGCGCTCGGCCAGTCGGCGCTCCCACTCCGCCCCCCCGTGTGAGCGCACCGTGGCCGCCACAGAGGGGACCGGGGGGCACCCGTGGGCAGGCCACCGCTGGGAGGGAAAGAGGGACCCGTGAGAGGAGGAGGAGGAGGAGGAGGAGGAGGCGGAGGAGGAGGCGGGGGGAGGAGGAGGAGGGGGGGGAGGAGGAGGGAGGAGGAGGAGGAGGAGGAGGCGGGGAAGGGGGAGGAGGAGGAGGGGAGGGAGGAGGAGGAGGAGAGGGGAGGAGGAGGAGGAGGAGGAGGAGGCGTGGATGCGGCCGCTCCACCTGATCGACTCCGGGAAGCGGGGTCCACTGCGCCGACGTCGGCGCGGAAGCTCCCGGCGTGAGGTCGTGCGTGGGCGCCCCCGGCCTCCAGTGTATAGCGTGCCTCCACGGGTGCCCGCGCGAGCCTCCGCGTGAGGCCGCCGCGCCACCTCGCGTCAGACCCGTTTCCGATCGTCGCTCTCCTTGTTGTCCTCCTCCTCCTCCGCCTCCTCCTCCTCCTCCTCCACTCCTCCTCCTCCTCTCTCCCTCCTCCTCCTCCTTCCCTCCTCCCTCCTCTCCTCCTCCCCCCCCGCCTCCTCCTCCTCCCCCCGCCTCCTCCCCGCCAACAACAAACAAACACCCAACACAACAGCACGGAAATCAACCATGCAACCACGAATGCCCAACGTCATATTGCAGTGAATCGATCCCCTCATCTATCCAGCTCGTCTAGACAATACAGCATAATACACGAGGGACAACCAGGGACATCTAGGGACATGAAAGACAAAACGGGACAACGAAAGACACAACTTACCATCCATGTCGGCCACGCGGATAGTACGGAAGGTGGAGGCCCAGGGGGGGACGTGAGTATCGTTCAACCGATCCCCATCCCCAGCGGCGTGGCCTGGGCCCCACTGGCCGATTCAGCCCCCTAGACGGGGGGGTAGGCAGTTCCCTTTGGGCTTCGAGGGGTGCATGCCCAACTGAGGTGGTAATTTGGTGGGGGCCTCGAAGGGGGTGAGGATTTGGAGGCCTGGAAATGGGCACCAACACCAACACCCGGGGGTGCCTCCACAGGGGGAAGATGATCCTAGATTTCGGTGTTGGTGGCAATATTTCCGCCACCTTGGAAGCCAAAATACTACCACCATCACCGAAATCGGGAGCGTCTTCCCTCGGTGGAGGCACACCGCCGATCCTGGTGCTGGTGCCAACCTCTAAGCCTGCGAAGGATGGGGATGCGGGTCGGTCAAACGACACCGAGGGGGGGCGTTGGTAGGGGAACGAAAAGTGGCATCAACATAAACACTCGGAGGTCCGCGCGGATTTCTCGGATAGGCGCTGGGGCCCCCCGGCGGCGCCTCCGGCGCCGCCCCTGGCGCGCTCCGCGCGCCAGGGAGGGGGGTCCATCGCCGATCCGAGAAATCCGCGCGGACCTCCGAGTGTTTATGTTGATGCCACTTTCCGTTCCCCTAGTTGGGGAGCGCAGGGGGGGCGCAGGCGAGGGCAGGAGCAGAGGACTGCCACTTTTCGTTCCCCTAGTTGGGGAGCGCAGGGGGAGCCCAGGCGACGGGAGGAGCAGAGCACTGCCGCGGCGCAGCGGTGGGCCCCGAGAGAGCCGCCCCCCGCGTGGGCCCCGCGGCGCGCGCCCGCCGAGCCGGCGCCCCGGCCCCCGCGCGCCCGCGGCGTGGGCCAGGGCGGCGGCTCGAGACGGCCACCTCCTGCCGCACTCCCCCAGAGGCGGCGGCGAGCCCCCGGGGGGGGGGGGAAGCGAGGAGAAGGCTCGGGCTCTCGAGGCTTTCGAGGCCTTCGGGCGTCTTCGGCCGCGCTCGGCGGTTTTTTCCAGCCTCGGGATGCCTGCCAGCAACTGCGCCTCGCCGAGAGCGCTCCAGGGGTGCCTGGATCGCCTCGAACGCCTGCCGGAGACCCGAGCTATGAGCCCAAACCACAGTCGGCGGCGAGCGAGGGGGGGAAGTGGGAAGGAGAAGGCCTGCTCAGAAAGCTCGGAAAGCCCCCCGGCCTTCTGGAAGTTTGTTCCATGCCTCTCCCGAAGACGCTAACCCAGAGATCCGACGTCGTGATTCTTTCGATGCGGGGTCCCCAGAGGTCTCGACCCATTCCCCAGGACCGGTTTTGCATCCTGAGTCGTTTTTTGACGGTCCCGGGGCCCGGCGAGGGCCCTTGAGGCCGAAAATTGCGAAAAACCTCCGTCTTGATTTTTTCAATACGTTGGATCTCTGGGAAGAAAACCTCTCAGAAGGCGCGAAAGCTTCGGAGAAGTCCCGCCGCCTCCTGGGAAGGTCTTCTCCTCCTTGCTTCCCCCCCCTCGCCCTCCGCCGGCACAGAGGAGTGCGGGCGCCTCCCCACCCCCTCGCAGGGAGAGAAAACGGGTGCAAAGCGCACCCGGGGTGCAGGTCGCGCCCGACCCGGTCCACTGCCCGGTGCCCGTGTGGCACGAGGGGCAACATCACGGGGGGGGGGTCAACTCAGGGGGGCGGGTGGGGGCAGCATCGGCCCGGGATCGGCGATACATCGCCGACAGATCGGCGATGGGCCCCCGACCAGCGGAGCCGAGCGCTCCTGGGCGGGGTGCGGGATGGGGCCCCTATCGGCGATCAGTGAAGGGCCGGGGCCAATACATTCTCCCGGAACGTTGCCTGGAGTGCTAGAGCAGGACAGCTGGGAGCACGTTCGAGCCACCATGCTGTCGAGGCCGTTCGAGCGCATCCACGCCCTGGCAGCTGGCGCCACTACGAATCAGAGGACCGTGGTGGGAGACCTAATCGAGAAGGACGACGCAGCCAGCGGGCACGCAGGGGCGAATTTTGATGGGCGAGTCGCAGATGGCTAAGCAGGCTTCTCTCAACGCGCAGTGTACGTTGTCGTACGTTTCCGCATGAGCATACGTGGGCCATCCCTGGCCAGGGACCCCTGCACCACTCGGTGATCTTCATGTCCACACGCGCGAGAAAACGCCCCAAGTGTCGACGCACCTGAAGTGCGCGTGTGTGCGTGACAGAGGAGGAAGGGCAGCAGGGGGAGAAAGGGACGACGCGACTGACAGGAATGGGACGAAGAGGACAAGAGGAAGGGTTAGGGGAACTCTCTCTTGTATCCCTCTCTGCCCTGTTTTCTCATGCCACCGGTGCGTTGATCGCGCTCCGAGGATCAGGATTCAAATCTCGCACATCTGGACTTTGGCTAAAGCCGTCTCCCGGGGGTGTTCCTCCCACTGGGGTGATGGGCCAATGTTCCACCACCACTACTATAGGTAGGACGGGGGAGGAGGGAGAATGGGGAGGTCCTCCTTCTCCTCATCCTCCTCCTCCTCCTCCTTCTCCCTCCTTCCATCCTTCCCTCCTCTTCCTCCTCTTCTTCTTCTTACTATTTGTCGTCTTATTATTCTTATTATTCCTAATCGAATTCGTAGTTTTCTTGTTATTACTATTATTACTCTTATTCGTATTAGTATTATGATTACCAGCAGTGTTATTAGTATTCGTATTATTCGTAGCCATCGTATTAAGATTAATCGTCTTCCTAATATTAATAATATTCGTTTTCGTGATATTATTATTAGTAGTATTATTATTGATAATATTGTTCTTATCATTAGTAGTAGTAGTAGTAGTAGTAGTAGTAGTAGTAGTAGTAGTAGTAGTAGTAGTAGTAGTAGTAGTAGTAGTAGTAGTAGTAGTAGTAGTAGTAGTAGTATTTGTATTATTATCAATGTTATTATCCTTCTCATTATTATCCGTCTTCGTCTTCGTCTTCCTCCCCCTCCTCCTCCTCCTCCTCCTCCTCCTCCTCCTCCTCCCTCCCTCATGGTAGTAGTGGCAGAGACTCAGCCCATCACGGGGGCAGGGCTCGAGGCTGGCCCGCGCGGCCCGCGCGGCGCGGCCGGGCCGCACGCTCCGCCCGCCGCCACTGCCTCGCCATACTGCCACTGGAAGCCCTGCCCGCCTGGCGGCGGCGGGTGCGCGCCCGCGGCGGCTGCCGCCGCCGCCAGCGACTCCGCTGGCCGCCGCCGCCGCCGCGGGCGCCGCAGGCGCCGCGGCCGCGGCCAGCGCAGCCTGCGCCG